CAAACATGTTCGAATCTGTAAGTTTTAACTATTTAGTCAAGTAAACCGAGTCAACCAAACTGTTCCTCTCTAGTTTCAATGCAAATTCGAGTCAACCAAGAAGTACGAATTTGACTAGAAAAACATTGACAAACTTGCTTGCAAAGTCAAACGGTCAACCCCGAACATCATCTACATTAATTATAACCATAAGAAAAAATTAATAATAATAATTATAATGGGAGACTAAATTCATAATCCCCATCTCCCTCTCCCATTTCCTTCCTTTCTTCCTTTGCACCCCAATTTGTGGGTAAGCCGAAATAGTAGATTTTCACTTCCGATTTGCACCCCCCTATTGTTACAAATTAACCAAACATGTATAAATACCTTGAAAACTGTGTTTTCTCCTCCCCTTTGCACTTCTATCTATTGTAGCACTTTCAAAACTCAGAACCGTTATCTATTGTGGCACTTTTTGTCGTCTTCTTAGGGCTGAAGAGAACTTCCCCGACGCGCCAATTTTGTCCGCCCTCTACCGAGACGTCATTCCCCCTTCAATCCAGACCATGCTACCCTTCACCCCCAATTCCCATAAATTTATAGTTGTACATCGTCTCCTGTCATCTCATCACTCTGGCATGCCTCGCCGAGTTAACAGTTCCTTGCGGCTGCTCCCACACGCCACCACTGTGACCATACTTTTTGTATTCTCAGTCCTCGCACGAATCGACTCATCCCAAAATCTCAATTGCGACGTCACCACACTGGTTGCTTCTCGATGATGCAACCTCTACACACCTACCCCAACACGCCAGCTCCCATGGTTTTTCTGTAGTCACCTTTACTCTTCGAGGAAGACTTCCCCTCTCTCCCTCCATCTTTCCTTTTTCATCTGCACCTTCAATTCAATTCTCGGTCTCTGATCTTGGCGGCACACGAGAAACAGTGAGAGCTACGACAAAGGGAATAAACCAGCAGGAAGTACAACGCCAGAGAAGGGGAAATTTAAGCCAGAGGATAGAGAAAGGGAAATCTAACCCCCTCACCGTCCATATCGGTTTCATATCTCAAACCTGTCGATTCCTTCCTCCCTACTCATTCCCACACCTTCATGTCCCCTTACAGAGATCACTTTGGATTGACCGGTTTCGGCGACGAGGAACCACACCATCATCATGGTTGTGAGATTTTTAGGTTGGTTTTGGCATTAAGCTTCTGCCGATGATCATTACAATCTTCTTTTCCGATTCATTGCCCAGCAAGTCTAGAATCTATATTGTTTGCTTTGGTTTTTTGCAGGCAAACACCATTGGTTGAAGAGGTGAGGCATCAAGTCATCTTCTCATTGTTTATTCTCCATTATTTTTTCCCCGTTGTCTACTCTTATATGAGGTTTCATGGTTTTAATTTATTTTTGGGACAGAGAACAAAAGCTTGAACTTGAGAATTGATGATAGCAGTTGAAGAGCAGTGGTAGTGTTCGGTTGAGGCCATCTTTTGGCACGAGGATTTGTGTCTTGCAACATAGGGATATCACCATATTGGAGGATCGTTCGACACTCTGGATTAGGATGTATGTAGATCTCGTCGTGGGTTCTTAAATCAGGTGATTTTACATTCATATTAACTTTAGAGAAGATGACTTGATGCCTCCTTTTACTTTGAAACTCTAAAACCAGATGACTTTATTTTTACTGTCGTTTGCCACTTTTAAAATTTACACTTTTTCAAAGTGAATTAGATCATCATGAACACATTAGCTACAATCCTCCTGCCCACTCTAATGTTTATTGCTTCTTGGTAGGCTCCCTCCGGTATGCAGCCATGCTGACACAGTTCATATTGCAGTGCCAAATTTGAAGAGGAAGAAAAAGCAATCAGCCTCCTCTTCTCAAGTTGGGGTGTTATATCATTGCACCATCTCTAAGTTACTGCATAATAAAGAGAAGGACCTGTTGCTATGGATTATGGGATTGACATGTGCATTAGTGTTTTTTCATGGTTTTAACCATGAATTTAGTGGAACATGATCCGCTTTAGAGGACTCTGCTCGATCTTGCAAGGTAAATGGTATTGAGAATCTAGAACTTGGCTCACTTATCATTTGATGGTTTTCTCCATTTTCAAATCACAATACTTATACGGGGACCAGTATGGATCAGAGCATAGTTATAATGAGAAAAGAGACCTAGTAAAAAGAAGGAGAATTTTTTTGGGAATTTGTTGCCCTCTTGGGTCTTCGACTTCCATACTAAATTGGCTTTATAATTTGGATTTTGGAATGGAAACAGTATTAGTCTACTGACCTGGAAGCATAGTAGTCATCCATAACTTTGAAAAATACGTGACATGAAAACTGTTTAGATACTTAGTTTTTTCCCCTTTTGTTGACTCTTTGTTTGGATGATGGTATTGTCATTGTGTTATGGATTCTAGTTTAAATGTGTGTTTCCATATTAATTACCTTGCCCAGTGCCAAATTTCTTGACTTTTTAACTTTTAAAGATGGTGTCGTATGGAATATTGGACATTCCAGGCTGTTTCCTAATAGCTTATAGTATTTTATGTGTAACCATAATTCATTCTGGCTATTGAACTGTTGGATAGGCTGAATACTTAATTTCATTTTGTAACTCACTCATCTTATCGTTCTACATAACACAGTCAGCAGGTCTTTGTGCAACGAGCCTTGGTGATCATCCTTTCTATGGAATTGGGTATTGTATTCTTCTTTTAATAATTCTATTTCAATTGCTTTGAATACTATCTTTTCACATGATGGTTTGGATGCCAAACTAGCTTTATTATGTACAAGTGCATGTTTTGAAGTTAGACTTTTGTTGTTGGCTAATATGTGCTCTCCAATCAAGAGGAAGATGGATCTTATTACACTATAAGTTTCCTTTTCTAACTTCCGTTCCTATTATTAGATCATCCTTATTTTCTAGATTTATGCTTTGGTTTGCTCATTATAGTTGTACCCGAAGTTGTTCGTTTAAAGAGTACTCCACTATTTTACGGTCATATAGTAGCCATCTAAATTCAGTTTACCAGAGGAACTTAACTTACTGAACAACAACAGTTACTGGATCTTGGAGCAAGATTTTCCAGAAAACTTGGGCCTCTCGAGTTGTTAAAGTTCAGAAGACGATTCAGACATATTGTTGTACGCCTCCGTGACTATGCAAAAGAAAACAAGTACAAGGATCCAACTTGCCAGCAGATCAATGCACTGGAGCAACACATTAAGAACCTGCTAGCCCCGTCGACCCCACACTTCTTCAACACACTCTATGATCCATACAAAGAAGGTGCTGACTTTATCCGGGGTATCCTTTCAGTCTATGTGATGGCTTTGCCACAAGTATTTCTCATAGCCTGTGGATAACACATTTTTGGTTTAGGTAGACTGTAAAATTGACTTCTGTTTTTCTGTGGGATTACCATTATTTATATTTGTGTCGTTGGAAGTTCAGTTTCTGCTATTTAGAAAAAAACTTCACCCTCTGAATTTATTTGAGTTCTAATGCAGTTGGTGCCTTCATGGGGTGTAGCTGGATGTAGTTGGAAATTGAATTATCATTATACTTGATCACATTACATGCTTTAGAGAGAAAAAATAGTGATTATACATTTACGGACCTTCTTTTAGCCACCTTTGTTGTCAACTATGTGTTCGATGTTTTGTTCAAACAATATCATGGACATGAACTCAATTATCATTCCTTTCCTGTCCCTCTGTGAAATTATGTACTTTTTTCCTCGGCATCATGTGCAAATAATTGTTCTTGGAATATAGTTGTAGCACATAATGTTGCTATGCTCTTCCTTTTTAGTACAAATCTCAGTTGCTTCGGTTTATCATGTGAACTCATATTAATTCAGACATGATTATTTTGACTTGTTAGTGTATGGGATTTTATTCACCTTGTTGATTGCGTTCTTTGTATGGTGCTTAAAGAACAATGTCTGCATATGTTCGTGTCAACTAACAACAATTCATGTAAACTGAGGAAGAACTAGAGTAGTTTCTGTTCTCTTTTCTACTTGACTAAATTGCAACAAGAAAAACATCAAACGTGCCAAAAGATGGTATGGGTTTCTCCTAGCTCCAAGCCCTTGCCCGTCACCCCCTGCTGATTTCCTCTTATCTATGAGCTATAGGGTGTTGATCATTTGGTTATGGCAATTCAAGAGCAGCATAATTGTGGCAGTGAGTCTGAGTAAACAAGTACCTATGGTGATGAGAATGCCATAGAGAATGTAATAATTGTGGATGAAGATGCGCTCATGCTCATTAAAGAACCAGAAATTGAGCTCAGTTAGGAAAAAATGAGGTAGAAACTTCCAAGCAGATAGAGAAGGTGATGAGAAGTGACACCAATTATGAAATTGAAGAAGAGAGCCATGGACCAAATGTTCTTAATCTTTTGTTGTCTTTGTTTGGTTGTCGTGTTCTTATTACTTTTATAATTAATATAAAATGGTTTGTTCAACTATCAACTGGGATCTGTTGTTAAGCGAGAGGATGTGGATTTACCAAGTCATAGTGGCATTCATAGAGTTTTGGACGTTTACTGCAAAACACTTTTATGGCATGTACAATATTGATGTTAATTTTAGTGGTCATCTAAAATAATTCCATAAATTTTTAGCTCGCTCAAAATTTTTAAAACCATACCGTTGTCAATAGCACAACAATCATCAGTTTGTTGTTATCTAAATTAGTCACCATACGATCATGCTATTACAACCTTAGTTCCTGTGGCGTAGCCGCGGGTACTGGTTCTAGCATGTAATTAAAGATTAAGAGAAACAAGAAAATCAACACCTGATTGTGTTTTAACTATATATAATAACTTGCATTCCGAAGTAAACAACAATAATAGCTCTCGACAACCCATCCAATGTAATTGATAATACCAACCAACTAAGGAAATTAAACAATTCACACAAATTAAGTAACAAGTGATGTGAAAGATGGAGGTGAAATGATAGCTAGGTATGCAACTGGTGGATCAGTTTTCGCCACCATCATTGGGAGCAGTTTGAGTTGCATTAGACATGTAAAGGGAAGCAGTAGTGGGATGGGCGGCATTCGCAAGCAATGGCATTGGAGACTCACTACCTCCTCCTCCTCCTGATGTGGAAGGTGGGCCTGATAAATTCATGCTAGTGTGCGGCACTGCCACTGGGGGAGAAAACAGTAAGTATTCCTTGGGTGTGGGAGCAGGATACTTGGAGATGAAGGCGTCACGCGCCATGTCCAGATTCAACGCTTGCATCGCAACCCGCATTGGTGGCCTGTGTTTGGGATCGGGATGGGCACAGTGCAGACCCACCATCAACAACGACTCCATCTCCAGGTTTTCATGACGATCATCATCTTTTAGCGTTGGATCCGCTGCATTGAGAATATTTCCCTCGGAATTCAGCTCTGAAACCCACTTGGCAAGGTCCTTCTTTCTTCCTCCACATGCGATTTCCAGCAGCACTAGCCCGAAACTGTAAATGTCCGACTCCTTGGTTGACTTGCCTGTCTTGGCACACTCCGGGGCCACGTACCAAGGGGTGTGACCCGATGCTTTCTGCGGCCCGGCTGCTTGCTGGTCCACAATGAGGGCTAGGCCGAAATCGCCAAGCTTGGCATTAAAATTGGAGTCAAGGAGGATGTTGCTAGGCTTGATGTCCCCGTGCAAGACAATACGGCCCCCTTGCCCCTCGTGCAAATGGGTTAGCCCTCTAGCCACGTCCCCTGCGATGGTGTACCTTTTCTTCCAATCCAACCGCTTCTTGCGCTGTTTGTTGGACCTTGCATCATCCTTATCATCTCCTTGATGACGGATCAGATGGCCATCCAAACTTCCTTCCGCCATGTACTCGTAGATGAGGTAGAATGAACCCTTGTCGTTCTCGAATGACCACCCCATTAATTTCACCAGATTCTCATGATTCAACTGGCTAATCGTGGACAGCTCCGACATATACCCTTTGAAATCACTGTCCTTCTGCCCAGATATCCTCTTCACTGCAACCAACTCACTACTGCCTTGGAACTTTCCCCTGTACACCACCCCGTACCCCCCACTTCCCAGGTGCTCGCTCCTGCTGAACTCCTTGGTAGCTTTCCTAATGTCCAGTGGGCTGTAGAACTTGATTCCATGGTTGTTGTTGCTGCTATTCTCCTCCACCTTATTCATTCCATTGGCTAGGGGAGCTGACGGCAAAGGCTGCTTAACATTATTTCTGTGCTGCCAGGGCCGCCAAAAAATCAATGCAACAATACCAACGAAACCTACTACTCCCGCCACGCTCGATCCCACAATCATCGTGGCCTTGCTCTTCTTCTTTTTCCCTACAGTGCCACTACTTCCTGTGGTGGTTGTGGGTCCCCCCTCAGCGTCCAAGTCGGAGACGAAGGACCACGACTTGAGGGTGTGGGATTGGTACCGCCACGCTGTCGACCCGGAGAAGCCAACCACAGCCCACTCTGCCAGGTAATCCCTCAAGTCCACTTCATAGCACAAGCTGTCCCTGGGAACCTCTGTCAGGTTCTCCGTCAGCCCTGTGAAGTTAGCGCACAGGTTCCCGGCCTCGTAAGAGATCTGGGCCCACATGGTGGTGCTCCCATCGGAATAACTCTTCCACCGCTTGCTAGCAACGGACTGTATGGAGTTGAGGTCGACCCCAACGTGGCTGAGGTTGCTCCACACGTCCCAGTCCGGATTATTGTAGGTGTCAAACTCCACGGCCAGGAAGGGGTTAGCCGATGCATTGTAGGTGTGATTGCCATCCATGAGGCCGAGTAGGCCCGTGTTGGCAGATGTCCCCGGGAAGGTGTAGTTGTGGGAGGCGATGAAGAATGCAAAGCCGTCGCAGGTCCAATCGCCGTTGCTGTTGTCCATGGAGAAGGTGAATGTGGTGGTGAAGTTGGAGAGCTTTCCGTTGGAGGCGTCCCACAGCCGCATGGGCTTCGAGTACTGGGCCTGCCCGGCTGTGTAGTACTGGAAGCCCGTGACCTGAACCCCGGATTTTACGCAGGTCGCGTCTCCAACGAGTTTCACGGCGTCGGTGCACTGCTCGAAGCTGGTGTAGTTGAATGACAAGGGCGCCGCGTGACCGATTGATAGGAGCCACGACCACATTGTTGCCATTATCAATACTACTTTCACAGCTTCCATCTCGATCGATCTTGTATCTTCCCTTAGCCTGGGCTACCTGGTGACGGGAAACTCTTTCGACCAAATCAATAGCTTGGCCCCACGCTTCCCAGCTACTCCTTATCCTTATCTACATAACCGATTTCCCAACAATAAAATTTGTTAGTAATTGAGTATGCACAGAAAAATATATCATTATTATCACTACTACTCAGCTTGATGAGAAAGAATAATCTCGAGCATGCTCCACCAAATACTCTTGTAAGAAAATGTAAAAAAAAAGCTTCATGTACAGCTAGCCAATCCTGTCAATAACTCTCATCAGTAGTCTATGGGAGACATAAAAATTTTCTCCCGATTAATTAATTTTAACTGTTATATTTTTTCATTTTAAGTCGTAAATAAAAAATTTTATACAGAAAAATGGCATCTACTTTGATAAATTTTTCAACAAAAACAACTGATACATATATTACCAGTCTATACTATGATGGTAATATTTGGTAGTACATAAGATTATACTATGGTGGTATGAATATATTATAGTATAGAATGGTTAAATACATGATTGTATGAATGTATAAACTACTATTGATCAAATTTAACCAATGTCCACCACCATTTATCACTCTATACTAGGATAGTATATTTGGTCCGAAGATTCCCTCTTCCCCACTCACCCTCCTCCCAAGAAATTTGTATATCACAATAGATCAAGACAACCCTGTTCCAAATTTGTTTCCCATTTTAAATTAAAAATGAAAGTTGTACATAGTGGTTCTAGGGTTGTAGCAAGTGGTAAATTTTGAATCCATGTTAACACAAATAAGATACCAATCGATTAAAAGAGGTAGAAAAAAGAAAAGGTTTTAAATCAAAATGAAAACGTCAGATATGATTTGTTATAATTGCATGACCAAGTATTATACACCTAATTGTTAATCTAATGTAGCTCACTCATTCGAGTAATGGTTTCTTTCCCCAGTTTTGATTTATATCGAATCATAATACTCATCAAACATAGACTACTTTGACTTCTAATTACGCTGGAGCCTATCCTTTTCAAACATGGTGCAAAATGTATAACATTATGAAACTTGTTTAATTTTCCCAAAGAATGGTAACTAGTTTGTGAAGCGAAAGGGGAGGTGAGAGCGTGCATCTCTAAAGAAATCAACATTGAGTTGTAAAAAGAACATCACTTAATTTTAGTTCAGTTTTCAAAGTGGGGACAGTAAGTAGCCATTGCTGATAATAATTTGACTGTATTGTGTAAAGATAAACGATATATACTAATTTTCTAAGTAATTAGTCTCCCACAACGAAAACCTTGGGTAACTAATTTATCCTTTTAATTTTTTTTTCTTTTTTGCTTAGGAATTCTTACGGATTAGCCACATATGTAAGGTGTGCCACTACAATAACCGTCGTGGACTCAAAAACAAAACAAGTAGGAGTAGTCATATAATTTATCAGTGTAATAAAAGATAATGACTAATGATAGTATAAGTGTATACCAAATAAAAATATTATTATATAATATTAATCTAAAGATTCCTTTTATTTTAGTAATAGTGTTATTTGGCAGATCTAAAACAGCACGCGAAAACACGCACAGCCCACTTGGTAAATAAAATTAAATCATCTTTTTTATTTATGGATCAATGCAAGCTGGGGCCACTACATAAATAAAAATTTAGCTAGGATTCGGACTATATTTATCTTCTTAATTAAAAAATATTTTTTTATTTAATAACTGATTTATATTTTCTTCGTTTTACCTACGAGTTTACAAATATTACACAAAGTAAATGGATTAATTGAAATCAAGAAAACAATATTCATTTTTGTATATGTTGGGAAACAAAATGCTAATAAAGTATTCCACCATGGTATTCCAATACAACTGAAGTATGTTTTTAGTATTTACCGAATGAAAAAATTGTACGACCATGTAGTCTTCAACTTTTCTGTAAATTAACATGATTCTTATAGTTCCAAAACTTTTTTTAGAACAAAATTAGCTTAAAATATGTAAAAAATTAATAGTACAAAATGGTAGCTGCAATGCAATGACACGGGAACCCAATTTTAAGCTACTGTGTATTCTAGTGTTAAACTGGCAAAAACTATGCGCGAAAAATAATAATCAACGGAGAGGTACAGACTACAGATGCATCAAGGAGAAAGGAAATGAAGGAAACTAACCATAAATAATTAAATAGATAATGAGTACTACCGTTATGGATGAACAGAACAGAACAGCCATAAATAAATAATTTATTAATAATGAATGAATGAATGAATGAATAGGAAGAAGCATACCCCTCCAAATCCAACATACGATTCGCCAGTCTGAGCAGATCGAGGATGATGAGCGAGGTGGCTGGGCTGGGCTGGGCTGGGCTGTGGGTTGGGCTGGCTAAGCTAGGCTAGCTGAGTAGTGCTGGATATCGCCGGCCCCATCGGTAAGCTAATTCCTTAGAGGACAAGAAGAAGAAGAAGAAGAAGAAGAAGAAGAAGAAGAAGAAGCTGCCGAAGAAGACAGGTTTAGAAATGCACAAGTAAGCGATGGCGGTGGATCGAGCAAAGAGACGAGGGGTGGCGTTGTTGTTCAACCAGACTCCCCATTTTATCAAGGGTTGGTGTTGCAGCTTCCTATTCTGCGCTGCAAGACCTAAGAAAGTTGACCCTCTGGCTCTGGTTGACGGAATAAAAAATGACCCGCAACTTGATCCACATTATACATTACTATATACGAAACCATTCAAACAAAATATTTAATTCCATACAGCTGTTAATTATTATTATTACTATTATTAACTGAAATTGATCCTCATCCCCAGACCAACCTTTTTATCTGCTTTTCTTCTCTTAGTTATATGTACGCATCACATCTTATCAATTTACCTAGCTAGCTATCTCCTTGTTTTATATTTTATTTTCTTAAAATCTCAAGAAACCAAACCCTCCTTGCTCAAGGGAAGTATTTACGAAATGGATCGATGGAGTCTTGGCCTTGTTGGGGATGTCAGAGTGTCCTTCATGGTTGTGAGTTGCTAGCTAGGAGAAGGAAGGAGAATGAAAGAGAAGGTTTCAATTTCAATCTAATTATATTGATGAAGTTAATCCCTGATTTTTTCCATTCTCTTATAAGGAATGGAGACGGTTTCTATATATGCTGCATGCAGGGTCTGAGTGATTGTAATTACTAATTAGTGTATGGATTAATGTCTATCTTTTCGATCGGTTGCTTTTTTAGAGGACAGTGCGTGCAATTCAGGGCATCCCATTACCTCGGACGACTATGCCGGATAGCTAGATTGGTCTGGCTAAGAGATTCATTTAACAAATTCATTAAATATGGATATTATTAGATATTTTATACTTGTTGAATACGGGAGCTATCAAATAAATGGAGAAAAATGAAATCGGAGAAAGACTCTGAGATAGTCATAGTTTCATTCTTCGTTCAAGACCAGCTCCGCAACGATCATGTCGAATTAACAATAATACATATATGAAATTTTCAAACGGATAAAATACGTACGTGTATGAAAGAGGGTATTTACTAAATGTGCTTACATTTTTTCTTATATTTTTCAAATTTCATCCATATTTAATATTTTTGTTATTCATCTACTATTTCCTGTGCAGATTTTTTAAAATGAAAGGAAATTGTGCGGAAATTAATTGATATCGCGTCATCCGCGGTTGTAAGCAAAAAAACGATATTGCGTCATCCCATTTGGTCACTCTTTAGATCACCTCTAGAACCCCGTTGACATTTCTAAGGCTACAGCACGTAATTGTCATTATCATTTTTCCTTACTCACAAGCGATATCATTATTGGATGAGAAGGTTGTTTTAAATACTCCCACTTGTTTTCTTGCGTCTCTTCTCCTCACCTACATATTTACGTAGCTAGGTTCATCATCCTTCATTATACATTTGTATGTAACAAAATCTTGTCTCTTGGTTTTTAGTTGGCAGGTCTAAAGGAGTCCGATTAAAAAAAAAATTGTATTTTCTCTGCTTGCGTCTTTTTGTTTTAATTTAAATCTTCAATTTTTTTTCATAGCTCAAACGAGTTTATTACGATTTACAAAATTATATTTGTTGCCAATATATTTCAAGAAATATTTTTTCGTACCATTTATTACCACTCCTTACTATTCGGGTCCCACTAAAGATCACTTTTGTTTTGACTCAATTCAAAAATTGCACAAAAGAAACGAGTTTATCGTGTGCTATTGTAATCTCAATAAATTTGACAAAAACAACGATGAAGATCAATAATTGTTATTATATTCCTACTATAATTTATACAATCATTCTACATTATAATATATTCATATCCTCATTATAAACTCTTTTATATAAGCTTATCTACTATATCAAGCATTCCCGATACAAAAGTTACTTCGGTTGACATTTCTAAAGCAGGAGCCAGCATTATTTCATTATTATTTATCACTTTACCAGAAGCAAATGTAATATCATTATTAGTAATTATTTGTTGGAAACTCACTCTAATACAATTTTAATCTACAAATTGGATCAAAAGATTGTTAAATCCCTCCACTTGTTACTGGCTTGCTCCGGTGTATACGACACGCATGTGCATAAGCAGAGAACATTAAATATATCTGCATTTCATGTCTTTGGGAGGATAGTCGCATTTACATTAAATGCTAAGTTCAACTGTACTTGTCGCAATAGAAATGACTCGTAATTCGAATCTGACAAATCGATTGTTCATTATAAAATTAAAATACTTTTGTCCTCTACTGTATATTTGTGTTAGTACTCTATAATTGATAGAAGATGAGACTTGATGATTTGAAAACCGAATCTAAATTCAATTAGGTTATTGAAATTATCAAAATCTCAAAATCTCTTGAGATATTGAGAATAATGATTCGGGAATAATTACACATCTTTTACCCCTTACACTCTTAAATGTTTGACTTGAAAATTCATCGTCTCTCAGATTATTTTATGCTAGTTTGTGCTATTT